CTGTGATTTAAGGAGTTAGATAAATAATAAAACTGTTTTCTTTAACTCTAATAATATATTCACAATCAAATCTTTAAATTTTCATTTTTATTACAATTTGCTTGCTATAATTTATTATTGAGTTCACAATCGTTGGAAATGATCTGTAAAAACAAAGAAATAATATAAATTTAAAGTTATTTTGGATACTGTAATGTAGTACATCATTATTATATTTTCGTTTTATTACGAGATATTTCCATATTCATTTTCAAAATTATCTCTCAATTATCTTTAATTCGCGCACCATGTTTTACACATTCGCATTAGTATTCTATTCCTCAAAAGATCAAGCGAGATCAAGCGCAGCAACAGAACGGAAACAATAACAACAACAACTACGGCAATGAGCTCCTGCAAAGCTCTCCCAAGCTATTAAACGCTCGATGGCTAAAAAACTTGGGCAACACTCTCCGCAGCATCCTGGCGTCATCATGGACCCCGGGGGTTCCCTCTACCCCGTACCCCGCTTCGCGGTTTCCCGGATGATCTGATTGTTTCACGTTCGCATGAGATTTACCTACACGGTGGCGGCAGCGGTGGTGGTGGTGGTGGCGGTGGCGGCGGCGGTGGCGGTGGAGGAGCGGGTGGAGGCTGGATCCTGGATGCTGGACCAATCGGATGACGGTCGGGGATCGATGTAATTAGAGAGGAACCAACCCCAGCGTGAGAAGAGAGAGAGTGAGGCTGGGGAGAGACAGCACAAGGGGTGACATGCGCGCGGCGTCGCGACGCCCGCGCGCGAACACGCTTCCGCGTGTATATAGGTGTCTAATTCCCTTTGTGCGTCGCCTATTGTCGGCATTACGATTATTACGCTCACGCTGATTTCGCTCGTCGTCGTGTAGTCGTCGTCGAGCGACGCGACAATACAATTATCGTTATCCCCACGGTCAATACGCGACGCCGACGACGAGCGGCGTCGGGACATTGCAGATGCGCACCGCTTTATCGACGTGTTCTCTGGAGAACGAATTGTTATTATTATTGTTGTTGTTGCTTTTTCCGAATGACAGCAAAACAACAAAGCTGTTCAAATATTTTGGCTCAGTCATTGCCGAACAAACGCAGATAAATGTTGGAATCGCAGATAAATGTTGGAACTAAAAATTAAAAAATTATATAATTGTGCTATTTATATAAATTTTATTTAACTCACTAATTTTCCTTTTTAATTAAAATATGATGCAATATACATATATGTAATACAGTATTTGAATATTCAATTACGATATACGTTTTTATTTTATTAAAGTTGGTTTATATAAAATATATCGAAGCTTTCATTTAAAAACTCGAATACAATATAAAATACAAATATTAATTTGTGCAGAAGGATACAAAATATAATCTCTCCGAAAGCTATCCTCAAAGATTTTTGGATTGACCCCTATGTAAGATAGGATCGAACACGAAAGCTAATTTTGCAATTAATTTTATATTTAAACAATAGCGAAGTTTTAAAGTTTCTAAACCTGCTAAATAAAACTTGTAAGAAATCCGATTTACGATGATATCTAGACGTTAAATACTTACATTAAAAATTTACTGTCCATGTCAGTATGTCATGTCAAATTAATACGTCGAGGAGCTTTAAGTAACAATCTGGAATTTTTATATCAAATATATTTTTAATTAAAATCAACCAAAGTCAAAATAAAACAATGTAAGTGTACTTTTCTAATATTGGATTGCGGAAAAAATCCTTTTACATATATATAAAAGAAATTTTCCCCACTCCATTATTTATTGCAAAATTTTTGTTGCAATTATATCATTCGATAGAGCAAAGTTTCAGCTTTAAGAATCTGTTTTATTAATTGCAATATGATAATTTTTTAATGGAGTTACAAGCAATCAAAATCTCTCTCTCTCTCTCTCTCTCTCCTTTACTTAACTCGCGAATAGAAACAGAAAATCGTAGCAACATTTTTAATTTATTTTGTAGGGAAAACTTTAAGCTTTCACGATAGGTAGTCGAAAATTTTCGCAAGTTCTTTTTGGGCACGTGAAAGATCCGCAAAGTGAAAAGCAAATTTTTCATCTTTTTCATTCGTAATTGTTTATATGTAAAAATTATCAAACTCACAGAAACTCAAAAATATAGTAACCTTTTGAAAGTAGAGATTTCAATCTTTAAATCTTTTTTTAATTTAAATTTCGTCTGTTTTTAACGAAGATATTGTAAAGTAAAATTCTTTTTACGCGCGTATACATTAAGACTTTTTCCCAAATCCAAAATATAGTGTCCGTATAAGCTTTCAATTGTCGATCAATTTTAGTAAAATCAGTACAATTAATCCTGAGATCTCGGAATAAAAATTTACTATTATTATATTATTAGTTTTGTATTTTATTATTATATTGTTTTCTCTTTCCGTATTAATTCTTCATTTATAAGTCTGAAGTATCTTTGGCTAAACTGTTGCATATACTGTTCTTCTTTATGCAATAATTTAAGAATTCAATTCAAAGTAGCACTTTTTTATGTCATAAAATAAATTCAACAAATACATTATCCTCTTAATCTTCCAGAGAATATCAACATTGGTATCATTCTTAAACTAGCGATAGTAAAGGAAACTCTTATAAATACGGAGATCTTTTTACAGTGTCTACTTCGGAAAAGTTCTCGGATTTATGAGAAAGTTTTTCTGTTATACTACCGTTTTGTTACTACTATTACTACTACTACTACTACTACTACTACTACTACTATTACTACTATTACTACTACTACTACTACTACTACTACTACTACTACTACTACTACTACTACTACTACTACTACTACTACTGTATTTGTTCAACAGTCATTCATATTATAACTTATTTAAGAAAATATTTTTTAGAAATTTTTTATAATTTTAGAATTTTTTAGAACTTTTTAAAAATTTCTCAGATTTTTTTGTACAAATTCAAGTATAATACTTCTTAGAAATGCGTGTATAAGAAAATCTTGAGATTTTATAAGTTTTCTTTAATACAATGAAGATCAGATATTATAAGATTTCTAGAAATATACCATGCAGAATTTTAAAATATTTCAAAAAAAATTTTATATGTATAACATAAATTTTACGCATATTTTTTCTAAAATTCTTTATATACATGCATAAATTTTAAAATATTCTATTAGTTCTCATTGTGTAATTTTCGAAGAAAGCTTATATATATGTAAAAACGTATAATAATTTTAAATAACAAACTCCTATATAAATCAAATACAAACTCGGAGAGAAAAGGGCACTAGGAGTCAAGCGCAGATAACTTTACACAAATGCTGATATACATAAAACAAAACTTTTTTATTATAATAATTATGCTACATAATTATTATAATAAAAAAGTTTTGTTTGATATATATATCATTTTTGCGTAAAGTTATCTGCGTTTGATTCCGAGTGCCCTTTTCTTTTCGAGTTTGTATTTGACTTATATATGTATATATAAAATCTAAAGAAGTTTAAGATATTTTTTCAGAAATCTTTACAAGAGTTAGTTTAATTCTTAAAAATAGAGATAAAATTTTTTTTTACCAGAACTATCATATTATGAAAATAAAATCATGATTTTATTTAACAAATTTAAAATGACCTCGCACTTTTTATACGGGAAATAATTTGTTGCTCGATTTTTTTTATAACAAGCTATGATTTGCATAATTAAAGTTTATCAACAATATTTTAAATTATTATAAGACATCCAGAAGTAAGTTTTTATATTTAACAAAATGATTACAAAGCTTGATATTGTTCAAACTTGAAATAATAAAAATTAATTATTATGATGAATTATTATGATGAAAAAAGCATTTTTCTCATTATATTGCTTAATTATTCGATATTTAGATTTGCTGGTCAATAAGTGATGACTTCATAATAAATATATTATTTGTTATTTTTCAAAATGACATTATCAATATTTTGTTTTCGTTATATATTTAGAATTTTTTAATTACATAAAAATACATTCTTTATCTTTAAAAATAATTTTCACTGTTCTTGGAAAATTTTAATAACAAAATATTGAGATAATATGTAAAAATTAATAACTTTTTTTATTATAACAAATATGTACTGTTATATTACTTTTTATGTATCATCAACGCGTACAGAGTCCCTTTGGCGCAGAGGATAGCGCGTTGGACTTCTAATCCAAAGGTCGTGGGTTCGATCCCCACAAGGGATGAGTATACCTTTTACTTATTTTTTTTATATTTCTTATTTTTTTATAGATGCTCTTTCATATTTTTTTAAATAAATATCGTAAGTACAAAAAAATTGGCAATCTCAAAATGTTCTTTTTTTTATTAATTTAATTACTATATTTTGCTCAACACAATATTTGTATGCAATAATACACACACACATTTATTAAATTCAGACGATCTATATTTAGTGATAAAATACGGCATGGAATTCTATTTATAATTTTATGTACCATATAACTTGGAAAACATTAAAAAAATCAAAATAATACATATTTAAAATAAACGTAAAAAAATATACATGATATATAAAATAATGTTAATAGCATTCTCTATTTTTTAGAGTCTAAAAATTATAGATTGTGAAATACAGATCGTTTAGGCTTCAATTTTGTGAATGACAAACTCAATAAAAAAAAAGACACTTTCCTTTCCAATCGTCAGTATTAGCGAAAAAAAGAATTTCATATAAATTAAATGACTAATAATTGATCTACCGTATATCGCTATACTTTAAATTAAATTCTGTATATAATACCGTTTAAAATTTTTGAAGATAATCTAAGAGAAGAATAACCACAAAAAATGTTTAAAATCGTAATACTATATAGAGGGTATATATTCTATGACTTTCCTCACAAATCAATAAGTAGAATAACAAACTCATTTTTCAATTTTTAAGATTTGCTAAATAAATTAAATTAAAATTTTCCAAATTTATTATTCATACTATACAATGTATATTTCTCCTTCCGCCATCTTTGCATAGATAGCAAAATTACATTTTGTAAATATAGTTTTTATCATATTTATATGTACATACTAAAATCTGATTCCTTTACAATCGTACGATTCGTAAGCAAACTCTTCTTTATGGAGTTTGTCGTACTCCAATCCAATATAATCGATCTCTAATCTGAAATGACCAGAAACACTATCTGCTAACGATATACCAAAATTCGTAATCTCGTGTTGTATGATTGGTATCTGCCTATCCTGAAGCCTGCCTTTACTCGAAAATACGAACTTGGAGAATGGTACTCTGACATATTGCCAGTACGGTCCGCCTCTGGTGTAGAGGACGTAATGATATACATCGTTCCAGGTCAAGTCAAATATGCCTCTAGTAGCAATATTCAGTATATAGCATCTACCGTCTCCCCTAATACGAAGAACGAGATGAGTATAGTTTGACCAGTCATGATAAGCATTTCGCTTGAAAGACTTAAATTTGGGTGTACTGGTCATGTTGCAATAACCAGCGTATTTTATCTTGCCATCCTTAGGTAAACGAGAGCTTAATGTGCCAGAAAATACACCGGTACCAGTGGAGGACATCTCTAATCTAAGAAAAATAAAAATAATATAGATATGTAACAGTAAAGACATTATAACAGTAGAGACAATGTAGATATGCAACATTTGCCTGCTGAACATTTTTCGTATAATTAACTAATCAGAATATGTAAAGTTCAGAATTTTTCAGAACTTCTGATTAATTGTATAACTTTTACAATATTTCCAGATGTTTTATGCAAATTGGAGTATTTATTAGAAAGCTTACATCTCTTCTAAAATACTCTGATTTTTAAGATTCCTCAGTCTGTATAATTTCTGATAAAATCTTATAAAAAAATTTGAAATATTTTTTTTAAATTATAGAATAAGGAATTTCAAAGTATTTCAAAATGTATACATAAAGAATTTTAAAAAAAATGTGGTATCTTCAGTATTTCTGAAGTGAAAGTGTCCCAATTTGTAAAAAAAATTCTGAGAAAAATTTTCATTATTTTTATAATATAATATACATTGGATAATATTAAATATATAAAATTTAAACCTACTTGACTTTTGAAAAACCTTCGTTGTGATCACTATCACATGTAATGACCCATTGTTCCAATGACTTTGGATCGCCCTTAAATCTCCATATAACGTCAACTTCATTTTGTCTGTATATAAAAATAGGATCCATTCTGAATCTCTCTTTCAGTTCTTCCATTAAAATACCAAACTCTTCTTTAAAATATTGATATCCTTGCCGTATTTTACCAAAAACACTCAAATCTTGTACTGGTGGTGGTCTGTCATACACTGTTTTATAATCTGCCTTTCGATCCCTTTGGTAAAAACATGACAAACTCGAAGTTATATGCAGTTTTCTTCTACCAACCGGAAAATCTGTTAATATTCGGCTAAGAATTCGTGTGTTCATGTTTATTTGAGATTATGTACTGTTATATACAGAGATCATAGGTTAGATTATCTCCTATCTTTTTAAATTCATTTTTTTACATAGCATTATTAGCATCTTAAGTATATACAATGGTGTTAGATATAAAATAACTTCTTATTTATAATTCTTGATATAATTGAAATATCAACAATAATAAATCAATCTTGCTTGAATAATGTTTGTGCAGAACAGAGAGAAGCCTGAGAGCGGCCATCAGCGGCCATGTCCGAGATCTAGCTGTTACTAGCGTTCATTTTTGTGATATGGGAACTAAATATTTTGCGTGGTGAAACTGTCGATAAAATCATAGTGTCAAATAAGGATGTGATGCGTGTCTGTACTAACAGAGAGAAGCCTGGCGAAGATTCGAACCAAAAAATCGTGGATATTACCGACACGATCGTAGACATTAGCTACATAGTTCAATGTTTGTGGACATAGAGGCGCTTCAAAATAAAGTAACAGGGCATGGCCGCTCTCAGGCTTTCTAATAATTCAAAAAATAATATAATAATCCAATTAATAATCCAATAGTGTCATAGAAAAGTATATTATTTCGATGAGAAATTCAACTAAACAGATGTCACTGAATCATAGTTTAGCTACAGCTAATTGTAAATTGTGAGCCAATTTTTCATACAATACCTGTTTTCTAGCATAAATGTCTTAACATCTTTGTGCAAATAATTGGAAAAAATATATAGAGCTCATTAGTCTCTACACAATTTAAGGTCTCTCTCTCTCTCTCTCTCCCCCTCCCCC